GTCAGGGTCTGCGGGTTCGAGCCCTGGCTCGGGCTGCTGCCTGCGGAGGGACCCCTCCCTCCCTCCCACCTCCCCCAGCACACCGGATTTGGCTCATTTTATTCCCAGGCTGGTGCCAATTGGGGGCTGTGCCCTTCTCCTCTCTGGTCTAGGGGTTTGGGATGGGGGGTGTGTGTCTTCTCTCTCTCCTCATTTTTTTCCATTTGTTGCCTTTTTTTGGAGATGGAATTCTTTTTGTGAGAAGGAACAAAAAATAGCAAATACTTACAGTTACGGTAGCACTTACGGTAGCGAGGAGAGCGACTGTCGTAGTAAGTGGTGACTCCTCCAGAGCAACAGACACAAAACCATCTATTTTTGTAAGAGAAGAAAAAAAAATTTAAAAAAATTGAAACCTGCTGATGTCCTCCAAAACTGCCCCTCCAGAGGGGAAGTTGCAGGGGGGTGAGAATCTGTTATGTGTTCCTGCCCCTCCGAGTTGCTTGGAGGCAGAGCTAGATATCATGATATCTAAGCATGGTCACAGCACGTTCTGGGAGGGAGATTGATGGCACTAAAATGCCATGAGATCGAGGCTGCCAGGTGGTCCCATCCTGAGCCTCCAGCACCCCTACTCTTGTCCCCACTGCCCTGCCTCCACCCTCTTTAAAATACCCCAACGCTGGCATTTTTTCTCTAACCTCCTCAGCTTGCTGGGGCAGGTGCTTTTGCTTGGTCAGTTTGGCCAAAGAAAAGGGCAGAAAAGCCTCTGAAACCCCCAATCCTCCCAACAGGCTGAGTCCCCCATAGCAGCCCCATCATTATTACTACTACTATTATTATTAATTATTATTTATTATTAATTATTGTTGTTGTTATTACTATTACTATTATTTATTTTCTTTTCTCTGTCAGGATAATTTCTTGCTTTTCAGTGAATTCAGTTCCTATTTATTTCTGATTCTTTGCTGGCTTTCCCCAGCCCTGGGACCCTCTGGCCCCCCAGGTCCCCCACAGTTCCTGCTTTTTGCGTTGTGTCGTGCCCATTTGCAGCTTTTTGTAGTTTTAACTTATTGTTAATGTAAATATTTATTTCTTCCCCTGCCTGTGTGTGCATGCATCCCTTGGGCAGGCAAGGGACCCATGCATCCAGGGCTGCCTCCACCCCCAAGCTCTGATCCCCCCTGGGGCAGCTCCACCCTGGGGACCCCCCCATTCCAGGGACCCAGGCAGCCCCAGCAGGGAGGGTGGGCCAAGGGGACACTCCCCGCTCCCCCTCACCCCACCCCAGTTCAGTAGCAATAAGAGCTGCACCTTGGGGAGCCCTGCCTCAGCCCCCATGTGTCGGGGGTGACCCACTGTGTGGAAAAAGCTCCTGAGCTGAACAGGGCCCCTGCAGCAGAGGGAACCCCCAGGGAAGACTTGGTTCTGGCCCCTACCCTGGACTCAACTCTTTGTACTTTTCATGGCAGAAGTAATAAAATATTAAAAAAATAAATTAATCAGGATTTGTTGTGTGACTGTGAAGGTGTTGCCATTTTAAGTTAGCTCCCAAAATGCAGAGAGGGAGACCTTGTTTACTACAGGTTTTTGCAGAGCTGGTGCTCAGTGAACTCCCACAAATCAAGCACACCTTCCTCCACGCAGAGCAACAAGCTGCTTGCCAAAGGGCACAGGAGAGGGGAGCAGGGTGGCAGATGAAGGTGGGCAGGCATCCAGCGTTGGAGTCCTGGCAGGACTGTTGGTGGTTCTGACTAGCTAACACTTCTCTGGCGCATTTTCTGGGTGTGAATCCAAGTGTGAAGCAAGATGTTATTACTCGAGTGGACTCCGGCGTGGTGAGCGAGTGAGGGCTGGAGCACTGAAGGAGCAGGTTGTGAGGCACCATGTTATGCAGAAGAACAAGCTGGGCACCAAAAGGCAGCAGAGTGGAGGGGAGCAAAAGGTGAGGGTGCCATCCTTTTGCTCTTTTTTTCTTGTCCCCACCCTGCTTTCTCTTCTCTTTATCTCTGAATTTTTTTGTTCTCCTTTTTTACCCCCCTTTCTTCTTCCCTGCTCTCTTTTTTTCTATGCAATTCTCACTTCTCCATTATTGCTCATTTTTTTAATCCCCTGTTCTGTCTCTTTGTCACACCCTCCATTTTTTTTGCTCCCCCCACCCACCCCATTCTCTCTTTTTTTTTTTAAATTTTTTTTTTTTATTCGACCACCCACCCCATCCTTTTTCCCTTTGATTTTTATTGGTCCCCGAGTCTCTGATTTATGTGCCCTACTCTTATTTTTCTCAGCCTTCCTTTTTTTTTTTCTTTTTTTTCCTTCCTCCTTCTCTCTCTCTCTCTCTCTCTTTTTTCTTAGGGTTAGGGGTTTAGGGGCCCTTTGCCAGGTATTCTGGGAAGGCAGAATGGAGGCTGGGCAGCAGTGTGTGTGGTGGGGGTAAGAGTGGTATGTCTGAATGACTGTGTATTATTTGATGTTTATTTTGGACCTGGAGATGCATTTCTTCCAGATATTTATGAAAAAATATAACTAGTCCTATGGGCTTGGAAAGGAATTTGAGATGTAATGCTAGTACTGGGGATGATTCCTACAGCTGTCATTTATGGTTGGGTGCAGATTCAATAAAGCTGGAATAAAGAGGAGGCTGCTCAGTGTTTGCGTCCTGTGTGTTATTTAGGCCTAGTGGAATGGCCTAAAGCTGCAATAAAGAGGAGGCTGCTCAGTGTTTGTGTCCTGTGTTTTCATTTTTTAAAAAGTGAGTTTGATCTTACTCTTCCTGTTGGTCTGGTCCTTTACTTCTGTGGGTGTATCTTTGTTCTTTTTGTTTTCTAGATTCTGTGACATTCCTTTTGTCCTTTTCTTGTAGTGTCATTCCAGTTGTCTTAATGTCAGCTGTAGCTTTTCAGCATCCCTGTGTTAATGTGTCTTCTAGCTCCCTATGCTCTGTGCGTTGTGTTGTCTTAGTCTCCTTGTCTAATATAATCTCTGTGGCTTTTTTTGTGTCAAGATTTCCTAGAGTCTGTGTTTCTTTATATATGTTCTAATATCTCAGTCTGTTTCTCTTGTGGCTTTTTTTTGGCCTCTATTTCTGTCTCCCACTCGCCTAGATTTTGTCAGCATTTCCTACTTTTGCTGTAAGACTTTTTGCGTCTCTGTTGTCTTTGTCGCATCACACTCTTGTTTCTGTTTGTCTGTGCAGTTCTTTGTGTGTCGCTCTGTTTTTGCATCCCTCTCTCCACCTGTAGTTTGCTCTGAGAACTTCTGTCCGGTTTTGTCCATTTCCCGCTCTCTGAGCTTTTGTCTGTTTCTCATTGTGTCTGGGTCCTGGTGTTTAGGTTCCTCTACATTGTACTCCGTGCCTTCTGGTCTTGTAGACTGTCATATGTTCGTGTCTTACTCTCTCAACTATTGCATCTTATTGTCTGTTTCCTGCCACCCATCTGTCTTTCTTTCTGTGTTCTGCCTCCTTGGTTTTGCTGTGGGTTTTATTCTTGTTACTGTGCTCTGTCTTGTCTCTTTATCTGTCTGTCTCGTCTCCCTGTTCTGTCTCTCTGTTCTCTCTGTCTTGTCCGTCTTCTGTCTCTTTGTCTCCGTGTTCTGTCTCTTTGTCTCCCTGTTCTGTTTGTGTCTTGTCCCTGTGTTCTGTCTCTTAGAACAAACAAAGAGACTGTTTCTCTGTCTGTCTGTCTTGCCTCCCCGTTCTGTCCCTTTGTCTCCCCATCTTGTATCTCTGTTTATTTTATCTTTTTTTCTCTTGTGTGTTTCTGCTTTTTTCTTTTTCTTGTTTTTTTCTCCCTCATCTTTACTGTTTCGTAGATAGGGTTTTGTAAAATGTCCTGTGCAGCAGAATCCAAATGCCCCCTGGAAGTAAAAATTTAAAAAACTTAAAAAAAATTTAAATAACTCAATTTTTACTCCCAGGGAGCTGCTGCTGCTGCACTGGACATATTATTTTTAATTTTTTATATAAACTATGTAGAGTTAAGAATTAGCACTCCCCTCCCCTGATTACCACTCCAGCTGGGAGTAATCCATCCAGTATTTGCTGGCTATACTGCCTGCCTTTCTCCCAGCTGGACTGGTAATGACTCAAGCAATTATGCAAATTAGCTAATAACTGTTTTTCTCTGCCTCACACCACACCTGCCACCCTACACCCCCACACCTGTACTGAATACAGAACAAGTAACAC